GCTGGTGGTGAGAATTCACTCATTTATTTCCTCTCATCCCTCTAAAAGTCTTGGTGTCGAATGCAGGAAGGCATTTGGTTCACTTCAGTGCTTTTTCTTTGGTGACGCTTATTTGCAAGAAATCAGAACACAAATTTCCTGAGTGCGTCTGCCCTTAACAACTTCTATATTTTTCCTGGCCTCTTAAGGCTGACCTTTTAGATGTAATGTGCTAAGTTGTTCTACATGCACGCAAAGTCTAACTTCTCAGGCAATTAAAATCACTGCCATAAACTTGCTCTTAAAGCCAGTAATAATTTGTGCAAGCACTTATGAATTCAGCATTGACTCTTATATACCCAGTAAGAATAAAATTTGTTTTGGATTGCATCCTGTTTAACTGCCCAGAGCTGCACACAGCCTCTCCTGCCCCTAAATACTGTTACAAGAGATGGAACCTGACGTCATGGACCAAATGGACTCAGCAGCTTTATAGGGATGCACTATAGTTCATGCACTAAGGAATGATCTCTCTCTCTATGTCTGTGTGCATGGTTATATATATATAGATATATGTATATATGTAAGAGCGATGGTATATTGAAAATGTGGGATCTGAGCAGGACGTGAATGGTATGGAATAAGGGGTGGATACTTTCCTGGGTTCAGCAGTAGCAGTCATTTTTCTCCTTGGTAGTTGGAGCAGTGCTGTGTTTTTGACTTACGGCCTGGGAAAAGGGCTGATAGCACCTATGTTTTTAATTTCTGCTCAAATATTTAGTCTGACCAAGGACTTTGTGAGTCTCATGCTCTGCCAGGGAGGAGGGGAAGCTGGGAGGAGCAGAGATAGGACACTTGACCCAAACTAGCCAAAGAGGTATTCCATACCACAGCACGTTATGCCCAGGATGTTACCCGGAAGGGCTGACTCACTGCTCGGTCAGGCTTGGTATCGACGGGTGGTATTGTATTCTCTTTCTTTGTTATTTCCCTTATCATTATTATTATCAGTGGTAGCAGTAGTGGTTTGTGTTATACCTTAGTTACTGGACTGTTCTGATCTCAACCCCTAGAACTTACATTCTTTCGATTCTCCTCCCTGTCCCTCCTGCTGCAGGGGGGTGGGGAGAAGGTGGAGGGCTGAGCCGGTGGTCTTTGTGGCTGACTTGCCAACAGGGTTTAAAACACGACAATTACTTAATCCCTGTCCATGACCAGCGGAGGGCAGTGAGCAAGGGCCAAAAGGGAGAAGACTTGTGATAATGAGTACCTAATCTAAGAGTAATAGCCTCACCGCTCTCTCGGGCACCTAATGAATATGCATGTTTGTGTGTAATAAATATCTGCTTGATTAACCCTTTGGGGTGCAAGTTAGAAGCAGTGATCCCCCTTCCACCCGCCGCTGTAATTAAAACCTTGCTTTATAACTCTCTCTGAGTTGTAGAGTCTGATTCTGTGTTTCACTGGGTGTAGGGACAATCCTTGGGGGTGGGAGCTCCCCCAAAACGCCTCACCTCTCAGAAGGGCTGCTGACATCTGAGAGAGGCAGGGTCAAGACCTACACCACCAGCTTCACACTCCGGGATGGTAACAGATGCAGTCCTTACTGGGAAGAGGCAGAGCGCCAATGGAACGACATCACTCGCAACTACAAGTACCACACTGTGCGAGATCCCTTAAGCCACCGCATTCTTCCGCCCCGCCCAAGATGGCGGCGGACGGCATGGCTCCGCCTACGCTTCCGCGTCCGACCACCCCAAGATGGTAGCGGCGAGCCGCGCATAGCTTTTCTGTGGCATCTCCAAGATAGCAGGCGGGCGGCATGGAGTCGGAACGACATCTGTTGCTATGGCTGTTCGCTGGGTCACGTGAACGCCCTGCGACTGGAGACGCAACGTGTCAACACTAGAGGAGCAGCTGCGGTGGTTGCTGGGCTGGGCGGTGCTGCGCCGCCTGCATCATGCCATCCTGGCTAGGGCTCCTGCGCTGGCTGCCGGGGCGGCGGGTGAGGCTGACTCGTGCTTGGCCGCTGCCTGTGCACCGCTGGTGCGGCTGTGGCTGCTGCTGCTGTTGTTGTATCTTGTGATAAACACATAAATGTATTGGCTTTCGCAAATCATAGGTGTGGTTATGTGGATATAACTGTACGAGTTTGCAATAACAGAAACAAAACTTGCTAAAGACACAAGACTAGACAATAAGTTAAATAGGTTAAGATCTCTTGAGCAAAACAGAGTCACATAGCAAAAGAATTTGTAAAGGTAAAAGAAGGGGGGGACGACGACACGGACTTGATATAAAGTAAACTAGTGCCTGGAAAAACATAAAGTACTTTTTTAGCTTAACTTAGGTTGTAGAAAGAGAACCATGTTTATGTTGTAAGTCTGTGGAATGTAGTGGCCCCACTAAACATGAATTAGTTGTTTCACAGTAGTCTTCTAAAGTGTCTTTAGTTTTAAAGAACAATCTTTGTGTTGTAAGTCTGTGGTGAGATAACAGGATTTAGTGGTCCCACTAAACATGAGTGAGTTATTTCACACCATCCTTCTACTTATCAGTTAGTTTAGAGACAGAGCCTCCCAAACATCTGCTAGCTTGGGATACTCCTTGTCTGCCCATCCTGCAATAAATTTTGCAGGAAGGGCACACTGGTTTAAATCTTTGCTAGTTATCAGAATAATTACAGATATAGCTGGTTGTGTGATTACTGGGGGGCCAACTGTGCCAAAGGTGAAAAGTACACTGTGAAGAAGACTGCTTACTTCATCTATACCCCTACTCACAAGAGGAAGACTGTTTACTTCATCCTCAAGACCCTTGCCCACAATCACCGCAGAGCAGTGCACAGACGCCAAGAGGAGGAGACTTATGACAGTAAATTCTTGACGCTAGTTATAATATCCCCCGCCTATATGCGGGAATTGTAAATATGTATGTAACTAATGTAATAGTGAAAGTGTATAAACCTGTAACAAATACTTTATTAATTATCTAATCTCTGTGTGGGGCTTTGAAGACATAAAGCAGAGCATGGTTAAGTACTGACAGACTTCTTACTACTTCTTACTGCTTCTGAGAGTGTTTTTCATTGTGGTTTTTTGTTGTGTTTTTTTTTTTGTTTTTTTTTTTGTTTTTTTTTTTTTATTATTTCTTTTGTTTTAGCTTCTTTTCTGCACACCTCCCATAGTATAACAAGGAGCATTTTCTTTAGTGTGACTTTCATCTTGAGAGTTTGCTGCAAATACCAGCTCATCATGTCTTCGTGAGGGTGAAGGCAGGAAATATTATCTCAGTAATGACAGTACATCTGGCAGTGTACGGGACATAAGTACAACGACCCTGCTCCTGGCGAGTTCATAATGAAGCAGCTGAGTAGCATGGGTAACAAAGTTGTTGTGCCTTCCTGTTTTCCAGTCATGGGCTCTTGATACAGAAGAGATGTTCCCTGAGCTTGCCCTCCTGATGTATTTCAACACAGAGATCCCCAATTCTGTTGCTACCAAAATGTTTTGGGCTTCATATGCTGTGAAGGCTTGTATTTGCTTTGGTGGTGGTCACAGCATATGGCAGTCTGTTTGGATGCTGTGGCTAGGTCTGCCTTCTGTCTGTCTGTTATTGCTCTTTGATAGTAAATAATAACTTTTACTATGCAGAACCAGTCAGAGGAGCATGTCAGAAGCGACAGGGTGGGTCAGGGAAAGGTTAAGTAGCACAGAGCTGCCTGGTGTTAGTAACTTCCTTTTCATAAAGGATTGTTGGGCGTGTTTAAAGGAGCTACCAGAATCTTGTAGCCTTTCTGCTCCAAGGTCTTGACAATAACAGATAAAAATGTGGTAATTTACGCTATGTTTTTTTTGTTGCACCAGCAGTAAATGTGCTTGCTAGGAGCAGCTGAAGTAAAACGTGAAACATTTTAAGATGAAGTCCTATTGATTTGTAACCTTGTGGGTTTGGGGTGGGTGTTTTTGTTTGTTTGTTTGTTTGTTTGTTTGTTTTCCCTAAACATGCTTCTGTAAACCTTGGGGTTTATCTTTAGCTTTTCATTTCTGTCTGATGGCTGCCCAAGCTTGTTCCTGTACAAACCTTTGGGTTTGGAGGAGGAGGTAACATATAGTGAAATGGTGAATTTAGTCCCCTGGCAAGGTGCCACCTTGAGAGGAGCCAATGCCTCTGTTGAACAGTTCCATTGATACAGCCAGAGAGCTGCAGTGGGTGCTTTTATCTCTCTGAGAATTGGCTGCCTTGGTGCTGGAAAACTTGCTGGGGCACCTTTCTCAGCTTGGGCTCTTCTGAGGTAGCCAAGCACTGTTGGTTATTGCTGAGGGGGACAAGGCAGGAGTTGCTGCTGTCATTTATATGGCTAAGGACATGCTGCAGCAGGAGACCACAGCCAAAGGGTAAGAGTTCTTAATCACCAGGAACTTTTGCCTAGATGTAAACTAATAATATTACTAGTAATAGACAGCTCAACCAGTTCCTTGGGTCAGGCGGTTCTGTAATTCATGTTTTTTTTTTGTTTTCTGGAGTAAAATAAGCAGCTATATGGCTTACTTTTTTTTTTTTTTCCCAGCTTTACATCTTGTCTCTTTCTGTTGCATTTATTGTGCTTGTTCTAAGCAGACATTTAATTTTTAACTTACTTGTATTGAGCACATGTTCATACTGAGCTTCTAGCAAAATTACATGGTGCAGGCAGTTATGAAGTTGATCTTCTTTGAAGGAATTTTGAATCTTTAGTCTGTAAAGCAGATGGAGATTAGATTGCAATACATGCACTGCCTAAGTTAAACCTGATTAAAAATCCAAGTGTTTTTGTGAATGTATGCTGTCTTTGCTTTCATATCTATTCTGCATGCAGTGTAAAAGGTCCTGTAAAGATACAGGCTGTTTTTCCAGCATCACTGTAAGTTATGCTCCTGTGCTCCTTCAGGAGTCTGTGCAGTCTGCCAGGCCATGTGCTTATAGTTAGAAAATACACCTTGGTGTTTCAAATGGTGATTTGGTGAGAGTGTTAGAGCTTGTAGATGAAATTCCAACCTCAGGCTCCATTGCTGTATGTGAAGGGTAGCACACTCTTGTCTAGTCTGGGACTATATCAGAATCAGTTCCTTATGCAGCTTAAACTCTGTATTTCCTTCTTGAAGGTACTATGATAAACCATGTTCATGAATTCAAGCAACATTTTCTTCTTTAGGAGGTGGAATACAAGAGTACCAATTCTGCAAGGTGATCCTTGATTTTTCCATCTTGCTCCCCATAACAAGTATTGTTTTATACCCTCTGCAGACTATCAGGTACTGATGGATGTTTCTGACAGCCCTGAGCGAAATCCCTGCTCTCCTGATGAAGAGGACCAGCAGCATTCCAATGATGAAGTCCTGAAGGAGAGTTATTCAGATCGGGAACTCGATGGAGAGGGTGGGCAAGGCAGCATTATGGGAGAGGAGGAGGATGCAGCCAGGGGACTGAGTCGTGGTGAAGTGGAGAACCACTCAGATGAAGAGGACCTCTTAAGTGAAACTAAGTCTCAGGAATCTGACAACAACAAGCAGAGTGGGGAGCTGAAGAGCCCTCTGCCTTGCAAAGGAGAGGAGGAAGATCAGACAAATGACCTTGGTGATGAAGCATCCTCTGTCACCCGTGAACTAGATGAACATGAGTTGGACTATGACGAGGAAGTTCTTGAAGAACCAAGTGCTGCTGCTGTAGAGGAGGATGGTGAGAAAGCTGCTGGTGAGGATGACAAGGAAGAGGAGAAAGGAGATGATGCCCATGAAGATGAGAAAAAATCCAGCAGCAAAAGTGATGATGGAAAGGATGGCCAGGATCCCCTCAAGGAGAAGAAGAAAGATGATGATGGAGAAATTGATGATGGAGAAATTGATGTAAGTAGGAGCTGGTCTCGGGCAGAGTCCTGCAGGGAGAGACCTGTCCTTGCGTTTCCAAACTGTTTGGCTCTTAGACTGCCATGCCTTCCTTCTTTGACATGAATTAGCTGTTAGCTGAGTCCCCAGTGTGTAAGTAACACACTTTCTCTTTGGAGGTAAGACCATAGTGTGTACCAAATCCTAAAATCAATGTCTAATGCTATATACTGTAGAAAAGCTTTGTGCCAAATATTGTCAGAGCTGTCGCAAATAAGCTTTGTTCCCATTGATGAACATGGAAGGGCTCCAGTGCTGCCTCAGCTCTTGGAGGACTTTTGAGTGCTGCTGACAGCAAATTACTTAACTATGGATTAGGTGTTAATAAGCTGTCTTACCGGTTGAGGTTGAGAGGCTGGTGCTGGGGAGTGGCTGCTGTGCTTGAGGCACCAGGCATGTGCAGGAAGCCTGTGGCCCTGAGCTGGTTCTTGGCATCTATCAGTATCTGGATGCATGGAAGAAGAGCAGAAGGTGTTGGGCTCTCTGGAAAGTGCCTAACCAGGAAGCCCCTGCATGTGGTTTGGGTGATGTGTTCAGGGATGTGTAGTCCCAGTAGCTGCTGTTTCACAGCTGAGGACAAATGCAGCTATTTAGAAAAATCAAAACCTGGCTTTAATTGCATTGCTGTTTGCCCTAATCACCACTCTATCCGTCTTTGTCTTTAGGTGGGAAGCACTGCAATACAGCAGTTGTGCTTAATACAGCTTAATACCAGTTTTCCTCTTGCAGGCAGAAGAAAACAGGACAAAGCAATTCTAGCAGTAGAGTACCTCCTTGTGGGTTCCTGGTCTGATGGACACCTTGCTTGAATCTGAATAGTGGGAGTGCAAAGCACTGCAAAGAGAAGTTGCTGGCCCACAGCACTTGTCTCTGCTTCTGGCTCTTCATGCCAGAAGGGGTCCTGCACAGCTAGGCTAGGTTGGGGCACCGTTGTGACTGTCCTGGTGACCAGACAAAGAAGCAATGGGCTGTGGATGGGGTCACCTAGTGTGGATCTCCTCAGCTGAGGAGGGGAGGGTTCAGACTGGAGAGGTGGTGTTGCCTTCCAGTCCCTGTAGCTGTGTAGCTGCCCTGGCCATGTGCTCAGGAAGCTCATCACACACAGAATCCCAAGGGTTGGAAGGGACCTCAAAAGATCGTCTAGTCCAACCCCCCTGCAAGAGCAGGGTAACCTAGAGTACATCACACAGGAACTTGTCCAGGCAGGCCTTGAATATCTCCAACGTAGGAGACTCCACAGCCCCCCTGAGCAACCCGTTCCAGTGCTCTGTCACTCTCACAGTAAAGAAGCTCTGCGCTGGACTCTTTCAAGCAATTCCCTGTCCTTCTTGAACTGTGTGGCACAGAACTGGACACAGTATTCCAGATGCGGCCTCACCAAGGCAGAGTAGAGGGGGAGGAGAACCTCTCTTGACCGACTAACCACACCCTTTCTAATGCACCCTAGGATGCCATTGGCCTTCTTGGCCACAAGGGCACATTGCTGGCTCATGGTCATCCTCCTATCCACCAGGACCCCCAGGTCCCTTTCCCCTTCACTACTGTCCAGCAGGTCAGCCCCCAACCTGTACTGGTACATGGGGTTGTTCTTCCCCAGATGCAAGACTCTACACTTGCCCTTGTTGAATTTCATCAAGTTTCTCCCCGCCCAACTCTCCAGCCTGTCCAGGTTTCGCCGAATGGCAACACAGCCTTCTGGTGTGTCAGCCACTCCTCACAGTTTAGTATCATCAGCGAACTTGCTGAGGGTACACTCAGTTCCCTCATCCAGGTCGTTGATGAAAATATTAAACAGCACTGGTCCCAGCACCGACCCCTGAGGGACTCCACTAGTCACAGACCTCCAGCTAGATTCTGCCCCATTGACCACAACTCTCTGCCTTCTTCCTTCCAACCAGTTCTTGATCCACCTCACTACCTGATCATCAAGCCCACACTTCCTTAGCTTATCTATGAGGATGCTGTGGGATACAGTATCAAATGCCTTACTGAAATCAAGAAAAAACACATCTACCGCTCTACCATCATCCATCCACCTAGTTATTTCCTTATAGAAGGGTATAAGGTTGGTCAAACATGACTTCCCCTTGGTAAAACTATGTTAGCTGCTCTTAATGACCCCCTCATCCTTGATATGTCTAGAGATGGTGTCAAGAATAAGTTGTTCCATCACCTTTCCAGGGATGGAGGTAAGGCTGACCGGTCTATAATTACCCGGGTCCTCCTTCTTGCCCTTCTTATAGACTGGCGTGACATTTGCCATCCTCCAATCCTCAGGCACCTCTCCTGTTTCCCACCACTTACCAAAGATGATGGAGAGTGGCTCAGCAATGACCTCCGTCAGCTCCCTCAGCACCCATGGGTGTATTCCATTCAGACCCATCGATTTATAGATGTCCAGATTGCTTAACTGATCCCTAACCCAATCCTCATCTACCAAAGCAAACTCCTCCTTTATCCTGACTCCTTCTGGGGCTATAGGAATCTGGGTCCCCTGGGGAGAGCCTGCAGGAGTAAAGACAGAGGCAAAGAAGGCATTCAGCACCTCTGCCTTCTTTATTTCCTCTGTCTCCAGGGCACCCACCTCGTTCAGCAGTGGGCCCATATTGTCTCTTGTGTTAGTTTTATCCGCTATGTATTTGAAGAAGCCCTTTGTATTGTCCTTAACCCGACTTGCATGATTAAGTTCCAAGGAGGCCTTAGCTGTCCTAATTGCCTCCCTACATCCTCTAACAACTGTCCTATATTCCTCCCAAGTGGCCAGCCCCTCCTTCCATAATCCATAGATTCTCTTTTTCCGCATGAGTTTGCCCAGCAGTTCCTTGTTTAACCATGCTGGTCTCCTGGCTCCCCTAATTGACTTCCTACCCACTGGGACACTGATCCTGAGCTTGGAAGAAGTGGTCCTTGAATGCTGACCAACTACCTTGAGCCCCTTTACCACCTAGTACCCTTTCCCATGAGACTTCCCTTAGCAATTGATTGAAGAGGCCAAAGCTGGCCCTTCGGAAATCCAGAATTGTGGCCTTGCTAGGTATTTTATTCCTCCCACGCAGGATCCTAAACTTCACCATCTCATGGTCACTGCAGCCCAGGCTGTCATTGACCATCACCACTTCAACCAGACCCTCCTTGTTGGTGAATACTAGATCCAGCAGCGCTCCTCTCCTCTCACGGAACCTTGCTGGAGAGACCTTCCTCCCTTTTCACTGAAGAGTTGTATATTGTGTGGTTTTTGCTCCAATGGTGCTTTGACAATTCTGTTGCTTAAAAAAGGTGACATAATTTTTCTTTTTCATGCCTATTCTGTCAGGTGATTTTGTTAAACATGTATTTTCTAAAAGTTTTGTGTTTCTGATTTGCTTGGAAGGAATTCCAGCATGCTGTGGGAGAGCCCAGGCAGGGTGAGAAAAAAAATCCTGGACTCCTGACTCCATGCCTGCTTCTTGATTAAAATATGAATGCTTTCCTTTAAAGTCTAAGGCATTCTTGGAAGCGCTTTCCTTACAAACCACAAGATGAATCTGTACTCTGGTTTTCATGCATTATCTCATAACAGGGCTCTCAGCTGCCTGATTCCAAGGAGACCTCACAGAAATACTTTTCCTTTTGTTCAAGTATAGCATTTGCAAAGACTTCACATAGTTCCTTTGAAAGAAGTAGAGCTGAGCTGGTTATGCCATTCACACGTTGCTGAATGCCGTCCCCAGCTTTAGGGAAAACTGTTAAACCTCTACATTTTATTCTGCTTTCAGACTTCTGTCTTAGAATCATAGAATTGTTAGGGTTGGAAAGGACCTTAAGATCATCAAGTTCCAACCCCCTTCCATGGGCAGGGACACCTCACACTAAACCATGTCACCCAAGGCTCTGTCCAACCTGGCCTTGAACACCGCCAGGGATGGAGCATTCACAACTTCCTTGGGCAACCCATTCCACTGCTTCACCACACTCACAGTAAAGAACTTCTTCCTTATATCTAATCTAAACTTCCCCTGTTTAAGTTTGAACCCATTACCCCTTGTCCTATCACTACAGTCCCTAATGAAGAGTCCCTCCCCAGCATCCCTGTAGGCCCCCTTCAGATACTGGAAGGCTGCTATGAGGTCTCCAGGCAGCCTTCTCTTCTCCAGACTGAACAGCCCCAACTTTCTCAGCCTGTCTTCAGATGGGAGGTGCTCCAGCCCCCTTAGCATCCTCATGGCCCTCCTCTGGACTTGTTCTAACAGTTCCATGTCCTTTTTATGTTGAGGACACCAGAACTGTACGCAGTACTCCAAGTGAGGTCTCACAAGAGCTGAGTAGAGGGGCAGGATCACCTCCTTCGACCTGCTTGTCACTCCTTTTGATGTAGCCCAGGATACAGTTGGTTTCTGGGCTGCAAGCGCAAACTGAAGCTGTCTCAAGTTTCTCATCGACCAACACCCCCAAGTCCTCCCCAGGGCTGCTCTGAATCTTTTCTTTGCCCAACCTGTAGCTGTGCCTGGGATTGCCTGACCAAGGTGTAGGACCTTGCACTTGTTATGGTTAAACTTCCTGAGGTTGGCATCAGCCCACCTGGCAAGCGTGTCAAGGTCCCTCTGGATGGCATTCCTTCCCTCTAGCATATCAACTGAATCACACAGCTTGGTGTCATTGGCAAACTAGTTGAGGGTGCACTCAATCTCACTGTCCATGGCACTGACAAATATGTTGAACAAGACCGATCCCGACACCTATCCCTGAGGGACACCACTCATTATTGGTCTTCAGCTGGACATTGAGTTGTTGACCATAGCTCTTTGCATGCAGCCATCCAGCCAGTTCTTTATCCACCGAGTAGTCCATTTTTTATATCTATTGTTCTTGGAGGGGAATATTAATGCGAATTTTAATTTGAATATATGTGTTTTTTAAAATCCATTCTTGTTCAGGGCAGTTCTCCTTGTATTGCCTTCAGAGGAATGTAGCAGCAGAAGCTGTTAACCAGTCTCTCTAGAGATCCTTTTTTTATTTACAGCCAAGCGATGAGTTTTTTTCTTCCTTTTCAGCTGCTAAATTGGTCTAAGTACATAACTTTCCTTATCTTCTCCATGTAGACAACTGCTGTCTTTGCCACAAGGCAGTTGTCATTGCCACACAAAGGGAAGGCCTCCACCAGATGCTCCTTCTTCAGATGTTTCAGATGCTGAAAAGTTCTGTGGTGGTGAATGGAGGCAGAGTGAGGGAAGGCCAGGGTGCCTTTTAGATTGAATAGTTGATTTCCTTGCCAGATACCTCTGAAAATTCTCTAGTCATGTATGTCTTTGCGTTCTGCATTGCCTCCTTTTGATTTTTCAGCTGCAGACTCATGAAGCCAGTGAAGGTTGAGGGTTGGTGTGTTTTTTTTTTCCTGGAGGACAAAGACAAAGGCTGGTACTTTAAAAGTTTCAACACTTTTGAACAAAAGTTTCAACACATTTGTTCAACACACAATAACCTTCAACTTCTTGGGGTGTTTCATGACTTATTTCGTGCTCATCCCCTGTGGTGGTTAATCTTCAAAACAACCTCTATCTCCCAGACTTTCTTCCTGGGGCTGCAGTGCCTGGGGCTGATGTAGAGTTTTATTTGGGCTGATTCAGAATTCTTGCCTGGAGGTGAGGAGTAGAAGGGAAGGTGTCAAGTTGTTGCCAGAGAAGACTGGAAGAAATATGTGTGACTTTTTTTCCTGAGAAGCCTGTGTGAAGTTGTTCCTCAGCACTGTGGGGAAGCATGTTGGAAATAGTTACGGTGATAGCAGTTGTCCTTCAGAACTAGATAAATGCTGCTGGGTTATTGCATTAATGCAGGAATACCACTGTGTATTTTAAATAGAAGGAATTGGCTTGAGCTTAAATAGGCATGACATGAGTGCCAAGCAGGGGACAGTCTAGTATGTTTCAGGTAAAATTATGCAGCTTGAAACCTTCGTCTGTGGTGTGGCATCAAGATGTCCATAACACCTGGAGGGTTTGGCAGTCACTTTTGAAACACCGAGGTTGATGAATCTTTCTGTTTGTAGCAGCACATTGCGAAGATGCTGTGGGGTATTTATTGTAACTTTATATTGTTTTTCTCTTCTGTTTCGCTCCAGGGTATGTTTTCAGTGACTGATATTTGACTATATTGTGAAATGTCAAGTCGCTGCAGAAAATGCACCACGTGAAATGTCAGCTTGTCTGTCTGTTCCAGGATGATGACTTAGAAGAAGGAGAAGTTAAAGACCCCAGTGACAGAAAAGTGAGGCCACGTCCCACCTGCCGATTCTTCATGAAAGGTAATGACATACTGTAATGGCAGAAGAAAACCAAAGTTGCTTTAATTTTTTCTTGTTTGATTTTGTACCCCTTAAGCTGCTGTCTGCATGATAAACTTTGCCCCAGGCATCCCCAGTATCACCTTTCTGTTTCTTGGCAGCCAGATGCTGAATTTACATAGAGCCAGCATGCAAAAGTGGCTTTGCCATAAGTGTGGTGAGCCTGTGGAAGCAAATAAGGGAAGACTTAGAATCATAGAATGGTTTGGGTTGGAAGGGACCTTAAAGCTCATTTAGTTTCAACCCTCTGCCATGGGCAGGGACACCTTCCACTAGACCAGGTTGCTCCAAGCCCCGTCCAACTTGGCCTTGAACACTGCCAGGGATGGGGCAGTCACAGCTTCTCTGGGAAGCATGTGCCAGCGCCTCACTACCCTCACAGGGAAGAACTTCCACCTAAGATCTCATCTCAGTCTCCCTTCTGTCAGTTTAAGGCCATTCCCCCTTGTCCCGTTCCTACAGGCCCTTGTCAAAAGCCCCTCTTCAGTTTTCTTGTTGGCCCCTTTAGGCACTGGAAGCTGCTCTAAGGTCTCCCTGGAGTCTTTTCCAGGCTGAACAAGCCCAGCTCTCAGCCTGTCTCCATAGCAGAGGTCCTCCAGCCCTTGGAGCATCTTCATGGTCTCCTCTGGACTCCAACAGCTCCATGTCCTTCTTGCGTTGGGGGCCCCAGACTTGCTAGTGTTTTTTAAACAGAATGGAATAAACTTGCTTTGTCTTATTGTAAATTTTTTGTAGTAAATATTAATAGGACATTTCCCAAAGTTTGGGCAACTCCACAACAGCTATCTTTTAGACTATCCTTTTTTTTTTTTTTTTATATATAGCGTAGAGAGTTAGGTTTTATAAAAGTTTTCTTATTTAAACTGATTATATCTGAATAATATAATCTTTCACTTCCTCCAGCTTCATCTCACTTAAGGTTTGTTCATTTATTTGGTTTTATTTGCAGTCACCCTTGAAACAGTTTATGAATATCTGTAATTAAAAGAAGGGTGGAAAACAGGATGGAGTCTCTTACTCTTTACATCAGTGGTGTAATGCAACGTAGGGAGCTGCTTAGGGGTTTCCAGAGACCTGACCATTGCATATTGCATACTCTGCTTCCTGAATGTCTTTCAGTATCAGATTTTTTCCATGTGCTGAGACACAAAGGTGTTGGTGATGATGATGGTGGAACAGGGAAGTCCCTCAGGAAAGAGAGCTATTTGTTCCTGAATCCTTAGCGTGACACACACCTCCGTTGCAGCATGGAAATATTTGCTCGAGTCAAAGTTCAGACTGCAGGATCTCCTGCTGTAGTTGTTATTCTTTGATTTGGTGTCAGTTAACATTGACACTTGCTCCTGCTTGGCCCATAAAGGCTTTACTGCCACCAGGAAGATCAGGCGCTGCTCACATGGGACCTTCAGGACCTTCAGGTTTTTCTCTTTACTGTGTTGGAGGAGCACTCGTGGCTGCATCTATCCAGTGGTGTGAATGACTAGCTTGCAAGGCCTTCCAGCAAACTTGCTGTATAGCCACCTTGATATACATAGCAGGACTCGTTATTTGTCAGGGTGACCATTCCCCTTGACGCCTCAGTAGGAAGTGTTGGCACAGGTGTCTGGCAGCTCCTACACCTAGTGCTCAGGCACTGAGAAAGGATAAGCCACTGTGCAAAGGGATTTGTGCTCTTGTTATAATTGACAGTGCAAAAGCATCCAGTGTTACCTCTGACACCAGCTCATGGTTAATCTGGGACTGATGAGGAGCATTTCCAGGGACCCAGGTGCGGTGTGAATTTCTGACATGTTACCCTGCCAGCCAAGGTCAGGGTTTCTTCCCTGAGCCCCAGCAGTGTTAACAGCTCCCTTGCCCCTCCAGCCAGTACACTAAAACCTGAACTACTGCAGAATTAGCAATAACTTTGTGATGCAGTTGTCTGCTGGGAGATCTGCAAAATGTCTCTTGCCTGATGTTGAGTGGATTGCTGGAATAAAACAAAAAAAGGGGGTTGTTTCTGAGGCAAGGTAAATTAAAGTTGGGAATTAGCTTTGTATCCTGTTAGAGACACCTGAGTGTTACAATTTCCTTGGGGTTGGTACCTGAAGCTAATGAGCAGCTTTCAGATTTGTCTGCTGCACTCCACAGTGATGTCTCCTTTCCTGCTTTGTGCTGGCAAGCTTGTGGATTCAGCTGGAGGGAAAAGCTTTGATGTACTTTATGCCTCACCAGAGTGCTGTTTATTTTGAATGCCCTGTGATGCTTTCTTTGCTGTCAGGTTATATGCATTCGTTGTTTTCTGTAAAAAGTGAAGCTTCTAACTTGGAGTATTTGTCATTAATAAGACTTGAAGAGCTCATAGGCTTATTACTGCATTTGCCTAATGGTGTGTATACATCTATCTCTCCTTTCTCCTCACCATAATGAGGTTCTTGTACATTCATCCGTCTGTGACTGGATCTATTCGTCTTCTCTGGGAAGGTGGTGGGTGATGAGTGTCATGTATGAAAAGAGGTATATCTCAAGAGCTAGAGAGAAGAAAAATCACATGTCTCAAACAGTGTTGTTCTTTGCTTGGTTTTAAAAAGTTGTGGGGCTGAACAAATGTTTGCTGTAGGTATACAGGGGTCTAACAGAACTGTATTTCCACAGGTCACTGTACTTGGGGCATGAACTGTCGATTTATTCACCCTGGTGTGAATGACAAAGGAAACTACTCCTTGATCTCCAAGCCTGAGCCCTTCTCCCCAAATGGTGCTCCTCCCATTGGCCCTCACCCACTGATGCCAGCCAACCCTTGGGTATGGGTATCTGTTCTGTGGATTTATAGCTTCTGCACATAGCTTTTGTCTCCTGAGATAAGTGAAGATGGTTTGGGTTTTTTAGTACTTTAACAACATTAGTCACTATTCAATTCATCAGTTGGATATATGATATTTTAAAAGGTGCTCTTGTAGTTGCTAGTAGAGGGGAATAATTTTCCATGTATGTCTCAGCTTATGTCCTGCTAATATATCTCCAGTGTCTGGATGTACTCTGGGGTAACAAAGCATGAGTTTGTTACTTAAAACTAATGTCAAGTGTCTGTCTCCTTCCTCTTCTCACCTTTCCAACAGGGAGGGCCAGTCGTTGATGAAATCTTACCTCCACCCCCCCCAGAACCTCCAACAGAAAGTGCCTGGGAGAGAGGACTCCGGCATGCTAAAGAGGTAAGTGCCATCCTCAGGAAGCATGCTGGTGTCTCCAAAATCTGGTGGCCTGTTTCACTGGGCGCAGGGAGATCTCTTTGGAGCATGTAGTGTCTTGCTCCTTCTGAGCAACCTTCCTTTTACCTTTTAACCTATTAACTGTGTCTTGTTGTATATCACAGTTGTTGCACAGTCAAGAGGAGCTGATGCCCAGGTTTGTTTTTTTGTTTTGTTTTGGGTTTTTTTTTTTCTTTTTTCTTTTTTTTGTGTTTGTTTTTTGTTTATAATATTCACATGAGCTAGGGGGAGTTTGTGGCCCTGAAGTCAAGCCCTCCACAAAGAAAAACCTTTCTAAGCTGATCCAGTTTCCCTTACTTCAGTAACTGTTTCTCTACCACGTATTAGATTCATGTGTCTGATCATTGCAGAAAATGGGGTTAGCACGTGTGAAACTTATTGCCTGTCTGCTGTTGTTCTGAGCTGATGGACTAGTGAATTACACTTTGTACATCAAGGAAAGTCCAGTGTCCTGCACATTCATGAGACCTGGGCAAAAGAAGGGTGTTTTAGTTGAAGGGCAGGTTTCTCCCAAGTGAAGGATTTTTAAGACTGCAGTTTCTCTGGGTCTTGGAAATATTCTCTCCTTACAATATTTTTATATTATGGCAGGTATTAAAAAAGGCGACTATCAGAAAAGAACAGGAGCCTGACTTTGAGGAGAAGAGGTTCACTGTTACTATTGGAGAAGACGAACGTGAATTTGACAAAGAAAACGAGTTCTTCCACGACTGGAATTACTGCATCACCAGAGACGTCAGAGATCCAGCGTAAGATGCAGTCTTGGTTTTGCTAGATGGAATAGATGGGGGGAAATGTAGTACAGGATGGCAGTCTTCAGTGAACTTATTCCTCCAAATTAGAGGAATGCTCACTTCAGAAAATGGAAACAACTTCAATTAAGCAATATGTACACCAGTTAAAAACTTGAGCTGCCTCCACTCACTCCAGTTCAACACTTCCTTCCTGTATAGTCATCGCTAAACCTTTCTGCCTTCAATGTCGTTGATACACAGGTCCTTCAAGGACACTGTCTAGTTGTGTACTGCCTGTGTCACACCAATGCATTCTTCCAACTGTTTTTCCTCTTGTTTTTCTTATTCCAACCCATGAGAGTTTTAAAATGCTAAAGCTGAGGCTGCAAAGATGGAATATGCTCAAGGTCCAAGAGCTTCAGGGCAGCAGTTGTACTGTCTTGACCAGCTGGGTGTTTATTTGCAAGGGCATTGGCACAGCAGCTGGTCTTAAACATCTTGACGAGTCTCAGATAAACTGCTGAGTAAGACAGTGGTCAGAAAGTGATTCTGTTAGTTGCCAGGGCATAGCCTGGGCCAAAACAAACATACTAAACTTAAGTGTCTAGGTGATTGTTTTTTTTTAAGGAGATGAAATATCAAATGTTGGAGACATTCCTGTTACACACTCCTGTTGCAACTGAAAGCAGGCAGGAGAAGTCACAAGGGTGAATCAGTCAGCTCTGGGAAACTTGCTTAGTGCTTCTCGAGCCAAGAAATCAAATGGAAAAAGATTTTTTTTGAGAGAGGGGCTTGTATTCTGCAGGAATACAGGTGAATCTGTTTCTCTTGCTCTTACATCTTCTGTTCTTCCTACACATACAGACTATGGAAATATTTCCACTCAGAAGTGTTTGCAAGGCTTGATTGTGTCTATTTTAGAGTGAGTGAATTGCAGAAAACCCCCAAGCCTCTGAAAATGAATAAGGAGTGGGTTAAGCTTTTGTTCTTTGATTTGCTGTGGAGTGCATTTTTTTCACCCATTTTAAAAAAGAAGCTATGTACTCAGTTCTGCAGCCTGAAACAAAACAGTTGCTCCGTATTAATTTTTCCCCAGGTTAGAAATAGATCTGTATCTTGATCTTCTGTTCCTCTGAGAAGGCTTTAAATTGCACCTGACACAGATCACCAGTGCTCTGTGGGTCTTTATGACTGTATATGGAAACTAGCATCAGTGTTCTAGTAGTTCTGTGCCACTGCCTTACTAATGTAGGAATTGTGTTAGATACAGGACTTCCTCTTTTCATATAGTCAAGAAAAAACTTTTTCATGTTGCCAGTATTAATTCCATTTGTTTGATGTCGTGGTTTAAGCCCAGCCATGCAGCCTCTCTCTCATTCCCCCCTTCCTCGCCCTGCTCCCGGAGGGATGGGGAGGAGAATCAAAAGAATGTAACTCCCACGGGTTGAGATAAGAGCAGTCCAGTAACTAAGGTATAACACAAAACCACTACTGCTACCACCAATAATAATAATGATAAGGGAAATAACAAGGAAAGAGAATACAACCGCTCACCATCCGCCAACCGATACCCAGAAAAACTGAGCAGTGATCTAGCCCTTCCGGGTAACTCCCACCGAGCAGTGATCTAACCCTTCTGGGTAACTCCCACCGAGCAGTGATCTAACCCTTCCGGGTAACTGCCCCCTGTTTATATAGTGGGCATGACTTGCTGTGGTATGGAATACCTCTTTCGTTAGTTTGGGTCAGGTGTCCTGTCTCTGCTTCCTCCTGGCTTCCTTTCCTCCCTGGCAGAGCATGAGGCTTGGTCAGACTTAAACATTACTGAGCATCAACTAAAAACATTGGTGTTATCAGCACTGTTTCCAGGCTGAAAGTCAAAACCACAGCACTGCACCAGCTACTAAGAAGGAGAAAAATGACTGCTACTGCTGAACCCAGGACATTTGGTTACTTGTTTAATGAAAATTCAAGCACCTTTATGTAGAAGTAGATTGTGGCATTAACCTATCTTGATTGTGCATAAAGGCAAAAGTTATGATGCTGCTGCTGTAAACTATAAAAATGGTGATTTTGCTCACATGTGCACACCCACACACACCTTATTGCACAGATTGACACCTTGCAGCAAACTAACCACTGGTGGTGCAGCTGGCATATTAATAAATGCTTTCAGGACTGTCTTATAACATATGGAAATGTCTAAATAGTTCATGAATCCCTTTATCTTGTTTGAAAAAGTATAGGGAGTTGGACAACTCCTGTGCAGGTCCCTTGACCTTACTCTGTTTTATGGGAAAACTGGCTTTCAGCAGGATTGGGATTATTTTCCTCCCTTTCTCAAAAACTTCTTCCGCTGTATCACCCCACACGATAATGTCATCAATGTATTGTAGGTGTTCTGGAGTTTGCCTCTGTTCCAGTGCAGTCTGGGTCAGTCCATGGCAGATGTTTCCACCCCAGGCTGTTTTTCCACTCGTGGGGCAGTCGGTTCCAAGTGTACTGGATGCCCCTCCAAGTAAAAGTGAACTGTGGCTTGCACTCTGCTGCCAAAGGAATTGAGAAAAATGCATTGGCAATATCAATTGTGGCATACTACTTGGCTGCCTTTGACTCCAGTTCATACTGAAGTTCTAGCAGCTCTGGTACGGCAGCACTCAATGGTGGTGTGACTTCATTCAGGCCACGATAGTCTACTGTTAGTCTCCACTCTCCATTAGACTTTTGCAGTGGCCATATGGGGCTGTTAAAGGGTGAGTGGGTCCTACTGATCACTCCCTGACTCTCCAGTCTATGGATCGGCTTATGGATGGGAATCAGGGAGTCTCGGTTGGTGCGATATTGCTGATGGTGCACTGTTGTGGTCGTGACTGGCACTTGTTATTTGACCTTCAGCAACCCCCCAGCAGAAGGATCCTCTGAGAGACCAGGCAAGGTGGATAATGGCTTGTGGTGTATCAAAGATGGACTCCAGGTCTGGTGAAATCTGATGACCTTTATTTCATGTCTAGCATTCCTTTTATAGTCTACTAAGTGCTAAGCAGTAACTTTCTACTCTTTTACTCCCTTATCATCCTGATTTAGCAAAACTACTAAGGGTTACCAATATTCACATTGTTTGGTCTGTCTTTGAGATGCACATCCTATTTTATCTTGCAAACTGTCTGCTTTGTTTTGCTAACCAATCTTTACCCTTCATTGTTCTCTTTACAGTTCCCAAGGCTTAGGCCTGACAAGGGCATTAATACCTACTGTTTTCTTCGCTATTCCCAGATCTTAAGCCAGACCAGGGCGATAGTGCCTGGATCCATTTCGTTAACTATTTCTATCCTGTCACCCACATCTCCCCCTTTTTGTTTTACTAAAAGACAGCTTTTATAGATTTATGATCTACTTTTGCCAAAGTTTCTGTATTCTCCATTAGCTATTGTACAAAACAAGGCACACAGATTAGAATACCTAAAAAGACTAATAAAATGATTAAGATAAAGTAAAGCCATCCTGTAATGCTCAAGACAGAAAACACTTTGTTCAACCAGTTCAGTCCTTCATCTTCCTGAAGGTGTGCCGTCCTTGTTATTAAGTCCAGAATGCTTTTATGAATGATCTGATAAATTCATGCAGCACATACCAACAAAATCTTCACACCCATAGTCTTGAGCTAACAATAAAAATCAACAGTTGTTCTGTTCTGTAGTGAGGTGTGCCTCACAGAATCAACATCTAAAAGCAACCCTGTTGTCCAGTGGTACCCTTTCCGGGCTTAAATGTTCCCAGACTATTACTAGTGGATGGAAAGTACAGTTGCGATACACTCCTGCACGGATACGCTCTCTGTTGACTGGTTCTCCAAAAAGAGACTGGTAAAATTTGTACAGTTCCTACAGGTTAACTTCAGCGATGAATCGGCATCAGTCTTCATTGGCAGTCGTTGCTTGTATAAACAGACAGGTACATTGTGCAGGGATTCATCAGGGTCCTCGTTCTGTAGAGACAAAAGTATAGCCTCTTCCCCAAGTTATTAACCTAAAAGGACATTCCCTGTTATGATTTTCCAAAGACTTTACTGTTACCATAACGGGTTCTTTCCCTGGTATCGGATCTGAGCCTGCATGGGTTAGTGCAGAAAAATGCCTAATCATTGGAGGGACATTCATGCCCGTGTGTAAATCAGAACTGGATAATGTTAAAAAATTTAAAACAAACAATGCTTATCATTCCCCCTTTTTGTTTTGCTAGCATTTTTTTACAATTTGGTGTCTCCACTCTATCACTGCTTGACCTGTGTAATTAACATAACGACACACTACTCCAGGCAGCATTATTTCAGTAAGATTAGTCTGATTTGAAGTCACTTGAACCTTTGTAACATGTGGCATACCAGTGAATCCTACACACCATGTAACAGGTCGGAATAATGGGGGATTTAACACATGTGCCCAGTATACTTGTCCATTACCCATGGTCACACATAATAGAACAGATATTACAAAGATTTCTGTCATTGTCGTTTCTTTATGTTGTTGAGTTCTGGGGCTTTATACATTTTGCTGGCAGCCAGTATGGTCCTGTCGATAGCTGTACACAGCCGTATCCTTGATCCCATGTCAGCAATGGCACTGGTCCTTTCCACTTGTTGTCCTGTAGGTCTTTATGTAGAACCGGTGGTTTGGGCAAGGAATCGTCCATCAGATGCGACAATCACTGTATTGCAGAAAGAGAATCAAAACTAGACAAATTTAAAGAATTTAGTACAAATTGCGCTTTTGCTGTCTGTGTGGAGAAAATCCTTGCATTCCCCTTTTTTTGTTTTATATATCTTTTAGATGACCCTACTTGAGCAGGGGATTTGGCTTAGATCATGTTGGGACCGGTCTTGTTTAACATCTTTGTCGCTGACATGGACAGTGGGATTGAGTGTGCCCTCAGCAAGTTTGCCGATGACACCAAGCTGTGTGGTTCGGTTCATAGGCTGGAGGGAAGGATTGCCATCCAGAGGGACCTTGACACACTTG